AGAGAAAGAGAGAGAGAGAGAGAAAGAGAAAGAGAAAGAGAGAGAGAGAGAGAGAGAATAAAAAATAGTTCTGAATATTCAGATTTACAAAGTAAGATATGAGACGCTTGTTATATAGACAATAATAAGAATAAGAAAGGTCAATATTGAACACAAAACAGATGGATGAATATACTCAGATAAAAGTGATTACGTATGCGCAAAAATAGTAAAATTGCTTAGCTGTCTCTGTTCTTCTGTTAACAGTTGACTTTGAACATCGATATATTGTAAATAATGATTTTATGTTTGCGTTAATGTTATTTACATTTTCTTCAGTTTGCGTGTGCTCTTTGTAGGACTTACATTAAAACATTTTAACTCTTATGAACAACTCTATAGCTTTTTTTTATGTAACGTATGACTATTCTTTTTATAATTGGAGCGCATGTCTTGTGAGAAACTTTAAATCATCTTCGCATCTACACTCTAATTTTATTTTTTCAATTTTTTTGTATTTTCTCATATGTAAATCGATCGCGACCGATGAAGACTTATGTATAAAGAGCTCGAAACGCTTTGTAATTTTAATATTTTTTGCGCATACCCAGATAGCACATGAATGTCCATATCTAATGGACGTCCAAATTCAGACATAAGGACGTCCATTGGATGTCCGAATAAACTACCATGGACGACCACTGATTGTCTTATGGACATCCATTTTTGACAATTTTGGTTGTCCATTTATTTTCCAAAAATAAATCTAAAAAAGAGAATTTTAGTGTAATATCACAGTAATATTAACATGTCCACCGATATGCATTACTACTGTGATATATAAAAAAAAATCAATGGCACATTGCCTTGTGGAAAGGGAATTAATTCAAAACTTCACTTGACTTAATTTTTGGAAGCCTGATTCAGTTTACAGACCAACTGATTAACTCGATTAAAGATACCAATTGCGGAAAAAATCCTAAGATGATAGTGAAATTTGAACTCGAGACCTCGCAGCCCTTGCACTCAGTTCGTGAGATCACTTGTTCCTTTCTAAAATGTAATTATTTTTATCTACTTATTCTCAAACTATTCTACACACTTCATTTATTATTTAAATTATTATTTTATTAAAAATAGTGCAGAGCAATGTACCTGTACCAATAAATAAAAACAGTTTTTTTATTATTATTAAATATAATTTAAAATACCTTTTTCAAAACGCAAATAAATTTTTTATTAACATATACTGATTATTATAGTCAATTCTTTATATATATAAGGGAGACTGGGGCTGATTGTGACACGGGTCAAAAGTTACAAGCTTTAATTAGTGATGAAAAATAAGTGCTACATTAAAGCTAAATAGAGACAAACGCGACAACTGTCACACGCGTCAGTAACATCATCGTTGTTGCAATTATTTTTCATAATTTAAGGTTGTAACTTTTTACCCGTGTCACAACCAGCCCCAGAGTCTCTCCTATATAAGAAATACAATATATGACAATATACACATTTATGTGTATCATTGTTATTATATAATAATAATAATTATATAGTAAAAATGTTATACGCAAACAAAGTGTTCTTTGTTGATATACTACATTTTGAAAACAAAGCGTTTATGTTTCAAACAAAAATTGTTTATATTTCAAACGAAAATTGTAGGATTTTTGCAACGATGTAGCAAAAGATATATGTATCATATTATATATAATTAAGATACAATGCGATGTATACAACTTGCCAAATAGTAAATGACATCTCTAACGTTTATAAGATATAATAAAAACATATTTATATATATAATCTTGCTACTTAGGATGGAATACAATATTACCGTAATATTTCAGTATTATATATAAATGTAGTTTATCGATAATAGTATTGTAATATTGTATTATAATATCCAATATTACTAATATATTGCAATATTACTGGGATATTTCCGTAATATTACGTGCTATATAAGTATCTCATCATTTTATCTTTATAGTTTATTTGACAAAAACAAAAGTAGAATGATGGAATAGTGCTAAGAGCACGCTTTCCAAACTCGCTCATTCTTATTTCAAGATCGTACACGTGATAGATACATACCCTGATAGGAAACCATTTACAAAATTATGTGACGAAATCTTGCACTAAAATTATAATTTGCTATTATACAGACATATTTTAGGAAATAGATGCAAAAACAATGGTCTTTTCTGAAATATTTGTAGTTGTTTGCAAAATTACTTTCCAAATACTATTTCGGCAAAAGAATAACGATATGGCAAATCATCTTAGCAGTATATTTGCAAAATTAATTTCACAAAGAAATTGTCCAATAATTGAGAAAAGAAATTTAGCTATGTGATGTTTAAAATATGTAGAAATATGATTGCATATGAAGAAATGCAAAAAATCGTCGTCACTCATGATGTCATATTTGTGCAATATTTTTACAATTTGCCTATTGGAGATATATACTGTGAAAATGCATAACGATTTTTTCGCAATTTTTGACAAATATTATTTACAAAATTTTATTTCGACAAAACTGTTGCGTTATGGCGAATCATCTTAGTGCAATCATTGCAAAATCGTCGCCATTCATGATGCCATTTTTCTGAAATATTTTTACAAATGTGCCTATTAGGGTAAAGAATTTCTTTGGTACAATATATCTGTCAGTTATATAATTAGTTAACATTCCTGACAAAAATAAGAAGCTTTACAGAGCGTTGATAACCGTTTAATGAGAATTTCCTGAGAGTTTATACGCTTTCAAACTTTATAAGAATGCTTATATAACGCCAAAAGGTTTGAACTCTTTTGGAACGCTTATCAAACGCTATATATAATGTTTTCTAAACATTCTGCAATGCTAAGGTAACGATTTTCACAAAACGCTCAGTAAATACTGATAAATTTTTGTATAAAGAGTTTGCTGACAGACTTTTCAAACGGTTAGCAAATGCTTTTATGAGTAAGTAATAAAAAATATTAAAAATTACACATTAAAAATCAATTCATTTATTATAACTCAGTTTATTGTAAGAATAAAAAGACTATTGATATATATTACATATATTTAATATATTAAATTATTTAATTATATTGAGATTAATTTTTTTTTTTGTGTAATAGTTTTATGTAATAGCTTTACGTAATTTAATATATTACATTATTTAATGTAAGTACTAATTAGTATATGTTTTTAAATTTAAAAATATATATCAGTCAGTAATTGCGTAGCGAGTAACACTTTTGCATACAAAAAATTTTCGTATAAATTTAAGAAGTGAAGTCCAGATTAACAATTATTGAACACTTACAAACGCTTACAAGTCTATACACAGAGAGAAAGGTTTCTTTAAATTTAATAATCCAATTTGTCTGACTCATATTTGTTGCATTCAAATAACATAATTTTATATCAAACAACAATTTTATTGAATAAAACTTTGTATTGTTACGTTATACTAAATCATAATATGAAGGAAATAATATAAGTGCTTGAAATAATTTATTTCAACGAAATAATGTTTTATTAGGTTTTTTTTCATTAAATAAAGCATTATTTAATGAAAAAATCAATTTTTAACATAAATGTAATAGACTATATTTGATTTAAATATAGCATTATTTGAGACCAAAAATTTGATCGCGTTGTAAAAATATACTTTAAATCATATTTAATAATAATAAGAGAGAGAAATATTTTTATTCATTGCAGGTACATTGCACTGCACTTTTTAATAAAATAATATTTTAAAGAAATAATAAATAAACCGTGTAAGATAGCTTGAGGATAAGTACATAAAAAGAATCACATTTTAATAAGGAACAAGTAGTCTTGCGGACTGAGCGCAGGTGCTGCGAATATGACGGAGACGTCTCGAGTTCGAATCCCGTTATCATCTTAGGATTTTTTTAGGTCCGGTCTCTTTTAATGGAATTTATCGGTTGATTGACGAGCTGAACCGGGTTTCCAAAAATTAATTCAAGTGAAATCTCTTAGCTGTGTGAAAGCGCAAGTCGCAAAAATTCTTTTATTAAATTTTTATTTTACTTAATAAACTATTTTGTTTTGTCTCACGCTTAACGTAAACACTATGCAAACTTTCAGAAACGCTTTATACAATTGCCTTTCAAATGCTGTAGCGTTGCAATTTCCGC